TCTTACATTTAAATGACGGACGCGTTATGAAAATACGAATAAATACAGGATCGTGTCTCGATTTCAGAAGATGAACCCTAACCGTACGTTAAATTCCTCGCGAAGATATCAAGAATATATCTATGTTACAAGGCAATGGCGATGCGCGGAATTGTTGCTCGCGAACGACCCCCCGATCACACCGTAAAAAGTCAGAGTAACTTTCTTCTTCCGTTTTTCGTTTTTCGTTTTTCGTTTTTCGTTTCTCGTTTATCGCTTATAGTTTTTCTGGTTTTCCACTTTTTATCGCTTTTTTTCCCTTATGCATATGCACTGTCTCCTTTTTTTCTACTTTTCTCTGTTTTTCCTTTTTTTCTTTTTAATGGTTAATCAATGTACAAGAAAAAATCAATACGCTTCGAGTCTACATAACAGTGGGTAAATGCACTGTAGACCATTCCGAGAATGTTCCCCAGAGAAAAAACGGTAAAAATTCCCTATGTTACACGACGATTGCGAAAATGTACAATTCCCCGATCTGTGCTTCTCTTATCATTTTTTTCTTTTTATACAGATTGTATGTATAATATCACCTATGTACAAAATTAACGTAAAAAGTAACAAGTGCTGGAAAACGTGTAAAAATTGTGTAACAAAATAGGCTGATCCCGTTGACGAGGACGAAGGACCTGGTGTTCGTTAAAAGCAACGCGATAACATCGTGTCTCTCGTCTACCTTTCCTTTCTCTCCTGCCCCGTGGTCGCTCGTCGATTTCCCTCGGACGCGCGAAAACTTGGCGCGATCGCGTCGCCGGAAATCAACCGGACTCGAACGAGAACGAGGACGAGGACGAGGACGAGGACGAGGACGAGGACGAGGACGAGGACGAGGACGAGGACGAGGACGAGGACGAGGACGAGGACGAGGACGAGGACGAGGACCAGGACGAGGACCAGGGCGAGGACGAAGAGGAGAAAGAGAAAGAGAAAGAGAAAGAAAAAGAGAGAAAGAAAGAGAAAGAGAAAGAAAAGGTTGGAAAATTAAAAGGAAAACGAAAGTACATGAAGACTCGAGCACGCACTCAGATTACTAAACCCGGTCTTCCATCCGCTTCGCCGTGGAGATTGTGTGTGTGTCCGCGGCGTTCTCCTGGGGTCTTATATATTACTATCTCTCTCTTCGTTATATTCATGTGAAAGAATCTCTCTTGCAAGCTCAAATAACTTAGTGGACTTATACATGGAATAATAATATGTAAAATGAAACGAGGTGAGGCGAGGCGAGACGAGACGAGACGAGACGAGACGAGACGAGACGAGACGAGACGAGACGCCGTGCGTGGTTTTTATGCTACGGACGGTCACGACGCGAAGAACTGCTGGAGGCGCTGCACCGTTCTACGATCCAAGGCGCACAAATCAAAGTCGAACGTCTTCTTGGTGATCTCGTACTGGCCGGTCTCCGCGATCACTTGGACGACTCTCTGCAGCTCCTGGTTGTCCTGCAGGGTCATGATCTTTTGCTGCAAGTCTTTCAACTGGGAAACGTAGTCCTCGGAGAAGACCGGCGGCTCGCCCATCTCCGAGTCGACCAGGGTGCTGTTCGTCGAGTCGGGGGCGACCTGCTCCGCTTCGACCTCCGCGTTCTTCTCCGCGACCTGTTCGGTCGCAGCGCGGTCCTCCTTCTCCTTGGCGACGTGCACCTGGTCCTGGTCGACGGCCACCGGCGACTGACTCGAGGAGACAGGCTCCAGGGGAGGCGACGTCGAGTGACCTCTGTCCTTCTCCCTTTTGACCAGATGCTCCTCGTCCCCCTTGCTCTCGCTCCGCCGTTTCCGTTTGCGGATCTCCTTCTCCTCGGCCTTGCTGCCCTTCGGCTTCTCCCTCTTGTTCCGATCGACCTTCTCCTTCTTGATCTCCGGCGTCGCTGGCGAGACCGGCTTCGCCATTTCCGCGGGCGGCGTGGCCACCGTCGGATTCTCCGTCTGATTCTCCTTCTTGATCGCAGGCACTAGTTTCGGCTCCGAGAACGAGTCGTCGTCCACGGAGGGCGCGGAATCGCTGCTGTCCCTTTCCGGCAGCTCGGCCAGAAGGGAGGACAGCGGAGTGGCCACCGGCACGTTGGGCACGCTGTTCTGTTTCTCCGAGGAGGACTTTATCCTGTCCCGTTTCTCTTTTTTATCTCGCTCTTTGCTGCCGTCCCGCTTGTCCTTCTTGTCCCTCTTCCGGTGCTTGTGCTTCTGCCTGTCCTTCTCGGTCTTGCCATCTTTCGGTTTCTCCGATTTCTCGGTCTTTTCCGGTTTCTCTGTCTTCGGCAGTTTCTCGTCCTTTGGTTTCTCAGTCTCCTTCGGAGGCTTCGGCGATTTCCTGCCGTCCTTCGCCGATTTGTACTCTTGGCTCTTCTCTTTCTCTGCCTTCTCGGCCTTGTCGGTCTTCTCCGGTTTCTCGCCCTTCTTCTCGGTGACTTTTATCGCCTCCTTCGAGGCGGACCGTTCTCCCTCTTTGTACTTGTCTTTCCTTTCCTTGTCTCTGTCCTCTTTGTGCTTCTTCTTGTCCTTTTTCTTCTCGCTCTTCGAGGAGTCCGCGACGCTCTTCGAACTATCCTTCGCTTTGTCTTTCTCCTTGCTCTTCTCCTTCTCCTTCTCCTTCTCCTTTTCCTTCTCCTTCTCCTTCTCCTTCTCTTTCTCCTTCTCTTTCTCCTTCTCCTTCTCCTTCTCCTTCTCCTTTTCCTTCTCCTTGTCGGAGGTGAGCTTCTTCAACTCTTTCTCCTTGGATTTCGGGGAGGCGGGTCTTTTCGCGGGAGGAAGGGAAGAGGGGCTGGCCGGTCTCTTTACGGCGACCGGGGACGGGGGTCGTTTGTTCGAGGGGCTTGAATGACTTTTATTGCCGGGACTAGAAGG